CAGGAATGTGTGACACTAGTGATTTGCAACTTAATTGTTGGTTTGCATCATTACGTGTTGTGCCAGCCACTGATATTATCCACCTCATGTATTCTGTGACTCCTGATGACTGTTACATATGACATAATCTTCTTTTATCCATATAGAATTGTACATCTACCTTAAATTTTTGGGATTGACATCAAACAGTTTAAAGTTTATTAGGGAGTTTTTTTTTCTTTTTTTCAATCTAGTTATCCTAAAGTATTTTGCCTTATATGTGTTCTTACAATAAAGAATGGACAATCGTACGATTTTCAGCTGGTTTGAACGGTGCTCGGGAGACAAATGCCGAACGGGCCGGTGTGCCCACGCGCACACTGGCCTTCAGCATTGCGGTCATCGGAAGCCCACCCCTCAGGGGGGCGGGCTTGCGATGATCGAGAGTACGATCTGCCTGTCCAAGATGGGCAGATCGTACGTTTTTTTAATTACTTTACAACCTTAGTCTTGCGATGGTTGTAAAGTGTATGGCCACCTTTAGAGAGATTTCCCACACTTGTGACATCCTTTTACTAGACAGGAAGTAAGGGGAAATCTGCAACAGGGAAACAGACAACAATACAAATCTGACAGAAGTTTTAGCATTACTCTACTTAACATAAAGCATTTTAGTTCTGTCGGTGTTACTGTTAGAGAAATGTCTGGTCCTGTGGACAACCAGATAGAAAGTGGTGGAATCTCCCTAATGAAGAGAGGCAAATCTGAAGTTCTAATCCTTCCACAACTAAAAAACGTTTTGGCTTTAGATGCGCGTTAACATTTCTGAATAACCACCTATGGAAAATCAGAATGAGGCACCTGTTATTTAAATGTTTCAGGATCAGGATGGAAAAAGCTTAGTGGATACTAAATAGTATGTCATCAGCTTATCATGTGATGTCCACTAATAATTGTGTCCTAAAGATCAATGTGCTCATGTTATTTTCCGCCTCAAGGCTTATTTAATGACAATGGCTGAAGCATGCCTAATTCAATGGAAACTAAAAACCATTGCTTCATTGCAGGTGACCCCCAGGTGACTTTCACCACAACCTGCTCCAACCAGTGTATAACACAACGTGACTTTGCTACCTATGGAAGACTGTATGCTAATGTATGCTAACTCTTTTTTCATGTGAGCATGCTGCCTCATTCATGTAGAACATCAATTAGATTAAACCCATGTGTGCATGTAAAAACAGTCAGTAACATTGGAAAATCATTTCTTTAGAATGTCAAATTGAAACTTTCAAAGGCCATATAGACCTCGCAATAACCTACATATCAAATTGATGGTATATTGAAAAGACTGTGAGTGGAATTTATCAAAACTGGAGCAGACAAAATCTGGAGCAGTTGCCCATGGCAA